TACACGTTCAAACATATGTGCACCTATGTTTAAATATTGACAGACATAAACGCAGATTGGGTAAGTACCTAAGGTTTCATGGCAGACAAGGGACAAAACCAGTTTAGAATCCAGGCCTGTGTGAACTGACTGATCTTTTTCGCTGTTTTCTGTAAGGCTGTATGCTTGTTCGAATTGTCCATCACCAGCTATCTGCCTGACAGAATAAAGATCATGTCTCCACCATTTCAAAAAGTTCAGAGAGTGAATGGAAGATTTGAAAAGATTTAATTTTATTTAGATCAGTGAATATTTTTGGTCACATGTAACTTTCAGCAAAATCATTGTGTTTCATTTTACTGTGTGTACAGGCGTTCATTTCCCCTCACTTGTAAATGATTGAGCCAACCCTAATTTTGCCACCGATTCTTTTTTAGAATCACCATCAGTTGGTGCAGGAAAATCTTTTAAATCGGTGAAAGAGTTTTGAGCCTTTTCTTACACTAAGAGTGAGACTGAAAAAGAGCCAGATGCACCTGGTCTCACTTAATGACAAATTGTCTTAAAGACACAATTTAAGAGCAGTTTTTGTTCTTAATCTGGAAACTGCCTGTAACATAAAACATACATGAAAAAGAATTTCTAAAAGTGAAGACTGTACATAACATTTTTATGGTAGATCTATATAAGAACAGTCTTTGAGTTCTATTTTACAGGTAATGATCTCCCCCTGTACTACCCTGCCATCCCTGTAGATGTCTCTCATATCCAGTGATGTGTGTAGTCCTAGCACTGGAGGCCATTGTTTCAAATTAAGCTTCCTTACTTAAATTGTGTGATTTTAGGATTCTATGATCTTGGCCAGAAACTAGAAACCTTTAGGCCACACAAATGGTTAAGGGTTTGACTGCTGACCAAAAGTCGGCTGGTTAAACCCACCCAGAAGAATAATCTGGCCTGCTTCTGAAAGGTTACAGCCATGAAACACGTAGAGGAATATTTCACTCTGCAACAGATTCAAAACTACAGAAGTGTAGATTTGAGCTATCTGAAATAGAAAGAGGAATTCTCCATGGGGCTAGGGGTGCACGCAGTGGTGTTAGAATGTCAAACGCAAAAGCTGGTTTGGTATTTTGTTCAGAGTCCACTCAGAGGCAACTGTTCCCGCCTCTGCCCTTTTATTTAATAAAGGAGCCATGGTGGTACACTGCACAGTGGAACAGGCTGCCAACTGAAAAGTTACTGATTCAAATCTGGCAGCCATTCTGAGGGAGAATGAGGAACAGTCAGTCTCCTTTTGTAAAGATTTACACCCCCAGAAATCTGAGGGAGGGTCTCTGTGAGTTGAATTCAAATTGAGGACACTAGGTTTGGATTTGGGTTTTTCAGTTTAATGATTGTTTAGTTCATTGTCAGGTGGTCTAGTGGTAAGGAGTTACACAGCCCACTTAAAGGTAGGCAGTTCAAATCTACCAGCTACTCTTGGAGAGCAGTCTTCTTCTCATGTAGTTTTTTCCCCCCTTGTAATATTTTTCTTGGTTTGTATACGGTCATTCACATACATATATTTTATGCATGTACATTGTGTTTCATTCATGTACATTGTATAATTACTATTGGTCTGTGCCTGTTATTACCCTGTCTGTTCAAGTACCTGTTGAATCTTTCCTGTTACCTCTATTCATCTCCCCGATCCACCCATTATCTCTGTTATTGTAGTTATTTCTTCCTTCCTTCCTTTCTCCCTTTCCCTCTGGAACATTTATACACATCTTGCTCAGTTATTCTTCTGTTTTTACAATATGGCCTTATGCAACATTTGGCCTTATGAAACTGAGTCATTTCACTCACCATCACATCTAGCTCTCTAGATTCTCCCATGTTTAAATATGTAGTATTTTATGAAATTGTTGTTCCTTAGTGTTGTCGTTCCATTGTGTGTATGTGCAGTTTCTCAATCCATTTGTTTGTTGAAGTATAGCTATCTCTGTGTCTCAGTTCTAATTTTCTTGGAGTATATTCTTGGCAGTGGATTAGCTGGGTCAAATGGGGTTTTTATATTCAGCTTTTTGAGGAAATGCTGTTCTGCCTTCCAGAGTGGTTGTACTATTTTACAATTCCACAAGCAGTACATGAGAGTTCCAATTTCTCTGTATTTTCTCCAGCATTAATTGCTTCTGTCCTGTTGAACTTTTGCCACTGCTACTGAGGTGAGATGGTATCTCATTGTTGTTCTGATTTGCATCTCTCTGCCAGTGATTTTGAACTTTTCTTCATGTGTCTGTTAGCCATCCAAATGTTACCATTTATGGAGAGTCAGCTATGAATCATCTCTGACCCAACAGAAGATAATGACAACAACTTTTATTATTGTCAGGAAAGTTTTTAAACAGCTTTCAACAAAGACCAACCAAAATGATAAAATTTTCACTGGCTTTTGCCTTTATAGTTGTTAAACATCTTACACACTGTGATTCTTTTTTGAACAAAAGGTAACAACTTCATGAGTATTATAATCTATATGTGAAATAGGATGTAAATTGAGGATCTTTTAAATAATAAACATGATTTCTATAGATGACTTGATCATTATTTTTCATTATTTCATTCTTTTTTGCCATCTTCCTATGTAAATATTTGTGTGTCCAAAACCTTACTGCAGTCTCATATTCTAAAAAGACCATAAAATTTTGCCTAGGGAGGAGTAAGTATGAATATTTATACTTGGAAAATTATTTTTAGCACTGTTTTAGAGTGGAGCCAAAATCTAAATTGGGCCTAGCCTAGAAATCTCTTATCAATATATTTTTTAAGAAATAAAGCGAATTACTTGCTTTCCTTGACAGAGGAAATGTCTACTTTTCTGAATTTTGGTCCTTCATTATTGGCAATTGCCAAGTTGTTACTGCACATTTAAGATGACTTTTTCTGATTAGGAACTCTTCCTTGGAAATAGTTTAAGAACAAATTCAAAAGAAAACTAGGACTGATTTATAAGGAAGCAAAACCATAAATCTAGCTTTTTAGTCACCTATAAAAGATATTTATATTGAGATAAAAATTACAAAACAGCATTAAGTGTCTCCCCCCACCCCACTTCTCATGGTGATTCATTTGTATTGGTTTTTGTACAGGACGTGCTGCAATTTGGGTGGTAGTTGTACAGGACATGGTACTTGTGAGTAAGAGCAAGCCCATTTACATTTTTCTCTTCCCCCCTCCCCCCAGATATCTTACATGGCCCACGGGGCAAGAATTCCTTGGCATTAACTCTTAAAGACTCTTGTTCCACAAGATTAGTTTGGAAAAGTAAAGTTTAGACTGTGTAATCTTCTATTTCACAAATACTTGACTCACTCAGCATAGAATAAATTCAATGCTACACTGTGACTAGCTTTATGCCAGGGGTAATAAATTACGGTGGTTTTTCCCCCTTTATGTAGCCTATATTAGAAAGCTGTTGACACTTTGGAAGACAGTTTGAACATTTCTTATGAGGAAGACAGTTTGAAAATTTCTCATGACGTTCTCTGACCCTATGAGTCATTGATTCTCTTTCTAGGTATTTACCCCAAAGGAGAATAGAGTAACAAAAAAAGATTACAACAGCTATTTTTTTTATATTTTATTTTATTAATTTTAATGAAGATTTACAGAGATTTTGGATTTTTATTATTTCATTGTTGCACTAACAGCTGTTATTTTTAAAATTACAAACCATGCAAAAGGTAGCCTAAATAATGATATGACTATACAGTGTATAGCAATTTTTTTTTTAAAAAAAGGTTATTACTGTTACACATAACCAAGCCCAGACCATACCTGCTGCCTTCAAGTTAATTCTTAGTGTGACGAATATATTGGCTTCAAATGCTATAAATCTTAACTGGAGCACGCTGCCTCCTTTTTAAACCCAAAGATGATGGGTGGATCTGAACCACTGAGCTTTTGCTTAGCAGCACAGCATATAGCACCTTCTGCCACCATCATAACAGCATAGCTAATTGTAAGTAATTCCACAGAATAAAAAAAGCTAGACTAAAACAAAGCAATTGAACTATTGTTGTATGCAACAGTATACATACTTTAGGAAATTCTCCTGCAGACTGGCATGTGCTTGTCTTATCTGCTCACTTGCTCTCACTTCTTTTTTTACTCATTTCTTTCAGTCATTTTTCCTCTTCTGATATAGTGACAGCAAATCTTTAGTCAAGTCTTAAGCATGGGAGAAACTAGAGGTAATGTTTGAGCTCATAATAGTATGATACAATAATGAGTTCATATATTGATCAATTATTCTTTTTCCTGTTTGTTGCTTCACTCTAAAAATCGTATACCTTTAAATGAGTTTATATTTCTTTTACATAAAGTTAGATATCTGACCTTTTTTTTTTTTTACCCAACCTTTTTAAATACAGGTGTATCTTGCTATGAGTCGCCTACAACTCGACAGCACTTAACAACAACATCTCCTGTATTACTACAAATTGATTTTTTAGTGTTTTTTAAAAATTTTTTTTCTGAATCTGAATTCTGATAATTCTGGAATTGACAGTTTTGGAGTCTGTTTCCCTTACATAGTTGTTGACTATTATGTGGCATGGAGTTGAAACTGACTCATAGTTGACCCTCCATCAGATAGGTTTTCGGAGATTGTAAATCACACAGGAAGAGATTGCCCATCTTCCTCTGAGCAGGTGGTAGATTCAAACCACTTATATTTGGATAGTTCAACTCCTTTTCTACTGGGACACTAAAGTATTACAGCTTACATATTTCTTCTTTTTCAGTGGATTTTTGTTTAAGTGAAGAATTGCAGATCATAGTGGTTTGTCATTCAATCATTCATACACATTGTATTTTATAACATTAATTACAATGATTTTTCAATGTTTTAATTGCATTTTTATCTTAACTCTAGAATACTTCCTAGTTAATTAAAGGCATGAGTATATTTTTGCTGTTGTCTTCTCAGCTGGTGAAATGATGGTAATTAAAACTATAATTCTTTTCTTCTTTAGCATCAGACAACAGTCAGCGCTTTCGAGAAACCTGTTTTGCATTTGCATTGACACCACAACAAGTGCAGCAAATCAGTAGTTCCATGTAAGTTGGTCTTCCATACAATTTTTCATTTCATATTTGAGCCTTATATTATTACCTATAAGCTATTTCTTAAAACAGTATATTAGATGAGAATTACTACTGTTGTAATTAGGTGCTGTCAACTTGAGTATGATTCAGTGACCTTGTGAACAACGAATCTGAACCCTGCCCTATCCTGTGCCATCCTCATCATCTCTGATACACCTGAGCCCATTGTTACTATTGTTGTTATGTACCTTTGAGTTGGAACTGTCCCATAACTAACTCTCAGCGGGTTTTCAGAGGTAGTTTAATTGCGTGGGAGGAGATTGCCCATCATATTGCTCATTTTTCTCCCACAGAGCAGCTGGTGGACTCAAACTCCGTGCCTTTGGGTTGCCAATTTAGCTCCGTATCCTCCAAGCCACCAGAGCTCCCCCGTTGTTATTAGTACTTGGCAAAATTAGTACTTAAAATGTTAATTGCCCTAAGAACATTTATAGTTGTAGTCATTTAAAAAACTGTCTGGAGTAACAATGACTTTGAATCACCTTTCATGTGAATACTTTAAAGTAATTGTCCTTGTTCTGTCATTCTAGGGATATTTCTGGGACCAAATGTGACTTCACAGTGCAGGTCCAGTTAAGGTACAGTGTTAACTGCAATATATATCGAAAGTTTAAAAGTTAACATTCCTTAGAGGTTTTAAAAATATATCTAGTTTTCAGTAAGTGTATAGAATTTTGACTCTAGGTGTTTAAGTTAGAAAAAGCATTTTTTATAAGGAGATAACAAATTTTTACCCAATTTAGACTTTAATATAAGAAGTGCTTATCTGCATGAGAGTCAAACAACTGTAGATCAAGAACTAGAACTTAGATTAAATGTCAAGTATCTCATAAACTAACAAAAGCCAGGATACTCTAATTTGCTTTGTCATGGATCTTAAATTGTTCATTTAAATGCTGTCTGGTTTGAATTCTGTGTAAGACATTCCAGTACTTTGTAAAGAGTAAAGGAAAATGGTCCATAATGATTTTACAGATGTCCCTTACTCACTTTCTTTTTTATGTCTCCTAGTTTCTCCTTGAAAGTTTCAAGTCATTTTTATATTAATGTGTCTTCTTTTACTTATAGAAATCCTTTTATACTCTTTGTTAGTAAGTGCTCCCACTGTGTACTTGTTGCATTTTGAATAAAACAAATAGAAAACCAGTTATTTAGTTCAGTAAGCTGTTTTTCTGAGGAGGATAAGTCTAACTGATAGCTTATTGTTGTTACATACCCTCAAGTTGGAACCAACTCATGGCTGACCCTCCAGCAGGTTTTCAGAGGCACTAAATCTCAAAAGAGAAGATTGCCTGTCTTTTCCCCTTGGAACATTTGTTGAGTATGAACTGGATGCATTCAGATTGCTTTACCACTCATTCACCAGAGTTCCCCCTAACTGATATTACTTAATAATCAGAAAATCTGATATATTTACAGATACAATATGAGTGAAAATACAAAGTTTAAAGCAGTCACTCAAGAACTTTATGAAACTAAAAGCCTGATTTTGGCTTTGAACTGTAATGGGAAAACAATGAGAAAAGTTTGATTAGTTTCTGATTCATAAAGCATAAGACCTCAGTAAACTTGACAGTCTAGTTCTCAGTTTTGGGAGGCAAGATTATCTTATGTGGAAATTTAGATACTTACTCTTGACTGAATAAATTAGAAATGAAAGTGACACCTTCAAATTTAATTCTGTATTACAATTTAAGAATTTAAAAGTTAAAATTTTTAGGGAGCTCTGGTGGCCTAGTTGTAAGAAGCTGTGTTGCAATCCTGAAGGCACACGGTTCAAATTCACCAGATGCTCCACTGGAGAAGGAAAGGAGATCTCCTCCTGTGCCAGACAGAGCTGATTCAACGGTACACAAGGGAAAATAAAAAGAAGTTTTAAAAGTCACTATTGTAAATGGTAAAATTACATTTTAGTATGAGTAATATGCAAATAAACTTTTTTTGTTTTTGTTAAACTGTATTTTATTAATTTTAATGAATGTTTACAGAGATTTTGGATTTCAATTCATTCATTCATTGTTCCATTTTTCTCCCTGCTCACCCCTCTCCCCCAGTTCGCTCTTCCCTTTGAAAAGTAAAAGAAAAATTTCTTCATTGGTTCAATCTCTCCCACCACTTCCCCCAAATACACTTCACTATGCAACCTTCATTCTGGACTGTTTTCATAACCATAATGCCCAATCATATATCGCTTTTAAACTTTTCTCTCCCTCATCTGTTTCAATGCAGTATAAATAACTTATCCAGTTTTTCTCAGTCTCACTCCAACCCTGATGTCAGTCTTGTTCTACAACAGTGGCACTATGCAGTATTTGTCCTTTTGTGACTGAGATATTTCACTTAGTATAATGTCCTCCAGGGTCACCCATTTTGAATAACATTGCATGAGTTCCTTGTTTTTCAATGCAGCGCAGTATTCCGTTGTGTGAATATACCACAGCTTCTCTATTCGTTTGTTGATGGGCATTTAGATTGTTTCCAACTCTTTGCTATTGTAAACAAAGCCTCAATAAACATGGGTGTGCATATATCTGCCTGGGTGGCAGTTATGGTTTCTTTAGGGTAGTAAATCAACTCTCTCTTTTTTTAAAAAAAATTTTTTTATTATTAATTTCAATGAAAATTTACAGAGACTTTGGATTTCCATTCATTCATTGTCCCACTTTTCTCCCCTCCCAAATCTCCGCCGTAGTACACTACCCTCTTGAAAAAGTAAAAGAAAAATTTTTTCATTGATTTACAATCCCTCCCCCCAGGTCCACTCCACTATGTAGCCTTCGCTCTGGAGTCCCATCATGACAAAAATACCTAATCACATATCCCTCTTAAACAGTTTTCTCCCTCATCTGTTTCAATGCAGTATACATTGAACCCATCTTTCTCAGTCTCCCTCCAACCCTGAGGTCAGTCCTGTTTACACCAGTGGCACCATGCAGTATTTGTCCTTTTATGACTGAGATTCACACAGCATAATATCCTCTAGGGTCACCCATTTTTAATAATATTTCATGAGTTCCTGTTGTTTGGGTTTTTTTTCAGTGCAGCATAGTATTCCATTGTGTGAATATACCACAGCTTCTCTATCATCCATTCGTTTGTTGATGGACACTTAGGTTGTTTCCAACTCCTTGCTATTGTGAACAAAGCTGCGATAAACATGGATGTGTATATATCTGCTTGGGTGGCAGTTATGGTCTCTTGGGGTATATTCCTAGTAGTGGAATTGCTGAGTCAAATGGTATCTCTGCAACTTTTTGAGAAAAAGCCACAATGCCTTCCACAGTGATTGTACCATTTTACACTCCCACCAACAGTGAATAAGGGTTCCTGTTTCTCCATAACCATGCCAGCATTTGTTGCTTGCTGTTCTGTTAAATTTTGCTATTCTTACTGGAGTGAGATGATATCTCATAGTTGTTTTGTAAATCAACTCTTAAAACAGTGACTTTCAACCTTTTGGTTGCATAGTGCCATCCCTAGGGGTCCTCATTCTGGCTGTCCTCCTGTCTCCATCCTTACCCCCAAACAAAAAGAGTCTTGCTTTGATGAGTTTCTTATGTTTGATTTCTGGGTAAATTTTCATTTGTAGAAAGTTGTCTCTCTAAAATAAAAAATCTAGACTGTCTTAAAATTTTAAATCTGTTTTCATTTGTATGCCTGTTTTTTCCCTCCTTCCTGAATTACTTCACAACTACTTTCTACTATTTCCCCCCTTTATCTTTTTTTTCTGATTAGTTTGTTAAGATAGTTTAGAATAGAAATTAACTTGTCATATGAATTACTCTCATCCTATTGCTTCAGGCAGCTGAGGGGCCATGTATTAAATTATCACTGCATTGAAATGATTGTTTTAAAATGTTGTGCATCCTGTTACTATTGAAATAAAAAATTAAACAAACCAAAACCAAAAACCCACTCATCTGAATAGAGAGTTAGAGATGAACTTGTGCATTCTGAGAAATGCTTTAAAAGTCAGTAATTCTTAATCTTTTTATGATCTTGGTGGTCAGGTCCCTGTGGACTGGCCATCAGAGCTCCCTAATAAAGAATGGAAGTCAGAAAGAGCAAAATAAAGAAGTATCCCATTACTTATTCAAGCGGGAAAGGAGTGCTGATGACATTAGTATGTAATGTATTGGTCTGTTAATCAAAAGACCAGCAGTTTGAATCCAGTATCTGCTCTGTGGGAGAAAGATGGGGCTGTCTCCTCTCTTAAAATTTACATTCTTGATAAAAACCAAGTGGGTGCTATGTGTCAGAATTACCTCAACAAGAATGAGTAACCCACTGTCTTCTAGTCAATTTTGACTTGTGGCAACCATTGGATCTCCAAGGTCTTAAATCTTTGGTAAAAGAGATTACTCATCTTTCTCCCACAGAGTCGATTTGAACTGTAAGCCTTTCGGTGAGCCACTAGAGCATTTTATAAGACTGAATAGAGAGAGAAAGTATAACTTAAACTTAGCTATCCTTGGTTTTTCCAAAAGGTGATGGTGTTTAACATAGAAATAAACATTTTATTAAGGCTCTAAAATACTATTTGAAATACTTGTACTATAACAAGGTTGGCAGTCCTGGTGGTGTATTATGTAGGAAATTAAGCAGCTGACCTCAAGGCTGCATGTCGCTGGCAGTTCAAATCCACCAAAGGAGAAGGACGGACAGTATCTTTTTGTGCAGTTTACAGCCTCGTAAACCTTTTGGAGGGTGAATTGATTCCACCTCAGTGGCTGCTGTCATTTCTATGAGAGAACATGAGTAATGATAATAATATTCAACTTTAGTTCTGAGCAGTGCACTTGATTATCTTGGTCCTAGGATTGGATTAAAGGCCTTTCCAGTATGTCCTGTTGAGAATAAAAAAGAGTCTCATAGGAAAATTAATCTGGAAGTATTATATTTTCCTTTTAGAAACTCACAGTGCATTTTAGCCATTTTAAGCTTCTGAAAAATTCTGTGTTAAGGAAATTTTTCCTAATTCAGAATTTGTTTTTCCATTACTTTTAAAATTTTTGTTCTACCTCCTATGATTCTCTGCTAACCTTCCAAGCTTGATTCTTTCTGTGTATAAACTATTTCTTGGGGATTTTTTTATTAGTGATCTTAAAACCATAATTATTCTTTTGTGACTTGTGTCATTGAGCATAATCTGTTCCAATTTCATCCCAACTGTGCAGTTTAGTGATGCATAATAATCCATTGTGTGTACCACCGTTTCTTTAGCCCTTCATCTTTTGATGGGCACTTGTGTTGTTTCTGTCTCTTTACTGATGTATATGTGCTGCAGTGTCCATGTCACAACTATTTCTTTAGACTGTGTTTCCAGTAGTGGGATTTCTAGCTCAAATGTATTCCTGTTCCCAACTTTTTAGGAAAGCGCCAAACTGCATTTCATTGTGGTTATACCATTTTACATATATTCTTTCCATATCTTTGCCAGAAGTTGTTGTTTAATGTCTTATTGAAGAGAATTTCTGAAATGTATTCAATTATAGGATTCTCCCGTACCCTTTAACATGTGTTAATATCCTAGGAATCTGGTGCTCATGAGAATAAACTTGAACTAATTAATGACTAATGACAGTATTATAAAAACTACAGATTGGTAGCCATGAGCAGTAAAAGCCTTTGTTGACTGTCAGAATTGTTTTTTATACAGTGTGAAATGCTTAGCTTTCATAGTTTCCCCTTTTTTTGGTTCAGATTATATTTTAATTAACTCTTGGACAAAAAATTATTTTGTGTTTTAATAAAGGAAATTAAACTTTTTATTGTTTAGGTTTTGCTTATCAGAAACCAGTTGTCCACAAGAAGATCACTTCCCACCCAATCTATGTGTGAAAGTGAATACCAAGCCTTGCAGCCTTCCAGTAAGTCCTAAAAGCAATTTTTAAAATTCATTGCCACTATAGTATCAAAGAAGTCATCATCACCATGACTTTAGATTTTTATTAAGAAAGCATTTTTGTTTTCCCTATATTGTCATGCATTTGGCTTAAACACTTGAACTTTATACAATTAGCAGCTTTGACATTAACAGAGACAAAGTACAGGTATGATTTCTTTAGAATGATACGAGATGTAAGAAGGAGCTTGTTTAAACAGAACTACAGTTGTGTTCGTGGAGGTCTGTAAAAGTGGCTATTTGAAGACACCTGTGCTTTGAACGGGATCTCTGTAGGCTTGGTGGTAAGATGCTGTGCGGCAATCCAAAGACAGACAGTTCAAATCCACTAGGTGCTCTGTGAGAGACGGATCGGCATTCTACCAGGCAGTGTACCGCTTCTGAAAACCTGTTTGAGGGTCAGCTATGGGTGTGTTCTACTCAGCTTCAAAAAACATACTTTAAACAAGGTCTGGGAGAGAGAGGTACTGTTTCGGTACCTTTGAAAATATTCCTATATAGACTTTATCTAAGCTTTTTATGAATTCTTTTTGTTTAAAAACATTTTTTTTTCTTCTTTCCAGCCTTATTTTTCCTCTGGTTTACAAATATTAAGACAATAGTGTGGTTTAGAGATGGGGGTTGCCAACTTAAGCAGTTTGTGCTCGGTGAGGGTGTCTCAAATCATCCCTCCCTTTTGTAAAAAACTGAGAATGTCTTTACTCTGCGTGTAGCTCTGTGTCCCAAATTTTCTTGTCCCGTTTGGCCCCTGGGATGGTCCCACAGCCAAGGAGGCAGGGATCTCCAAATGGAGTAACTATCCTCAGTCCCATCTCCCCACAAGCACTTTTAAGTGCTCACTCTTGGGGCGGGGGTGCAGTGCCTTCCCTGATGACCTGGTCTCCTGAAGCTTACTGACTTCCTTTGTCTCTGGAGTAGAGATCAGGGCTGCCACCTCAAGCAGCTTGTGTGCATGGGAGATCTCAAGTCAGTCGAGACTGTAGTGTTGGTTAGAGAAATAATAGTGTAGGAAACTTTTTAGGGTTAATGGTAATGGTACATTTATTAGAAAATTACATCTTCAAACGGACAGACCTTCCTTCTTAAAAGGAGATAAGGAGACAAGGCCAATAATGTAGGAAACTTTTAAATATTCATTTCTTTACTCTTTAATGAAAATATTGATACTTTCTGACATGTAGTTTGTTGATTTGAATGTTTTAGGTATACGAATGGAAATTTAAATTACTATTTAAATAAAATTATTTCATTCTTAGGGTTATCTTCCACCTACTAAAAATGGTGTGGAACCAAAGCGACCCAGCCGACCAATTAATATCACCTCACTTGTCCGATTGTCCACAACAGTACCAAACACTATTGTTGTTTCTTGGACTGCAGAAATTGGAAGGGTAAGTAAAGTTTTGTCTCTGCTACATATTTGTGGCAATCAAAGGGCTTGGTCACATAGTGAGGGTGGCAAGAGATAGGACAGATCCGTTATTCACAGGGTCGCTCTAAGTTGTAATTGACTAGCTGGCACTTAACAACAGCAAGAGTTAATAGGAGAGAGCTCTGGTGGTGTAGATGCAAGACTTTAACCCAAAGGCTGCACATTTTCATCAGTTCAAATCCACCAACTTTAGCATAAAAAAAGCATTTGACAAAAACATCAGTGATGTCATACATATCAGTAGTTGGAGTTAGATAGTATTTTAAAGGATTAACAGTAACACTATAATATCTACCTAAGAAGAGATATTATACCTCTGTTAACTTTGAGGGGTTCTTTGTTGCTCTCCACTTTTCATTTGCTGTAAAATTGAATTCCATATTATATGTTCAGGTGACATTGTTAATATTTGACATTCTTCTTGCTTTTTTGCTTTTTTCTTTAATTTGGTTACATGTTTAAACTAGAGTGAACATACCTATTCACTGAGCTAGATGTAGTTTCTGTTTGATCTCTTTTTAAATATTTATATAAAGCCTGAGGGTAATTCTTAGTTCTGAAGATTCAACTTGTCAGTAGTACATAATTTCAATGTTAATTAAGCATTTCTTCACTTTCCATCAAACTTGAAATAATAAACAAATATTAAGATGAGTAAGTTTTCTTTTTTTCTAAAAGAAGCTTTTTGGTTATATGTTAGGTTAGTATGTTCTATGCTCTAAAATTTAGAAAAATTGTAAGTTTATGTGTTCTTTATTTGAAAAGTAAAGTAACTTTCTTTAACACATCATTTTGTTACTTCCCCTACAGAGAAAAAAGCATTTCTCGAAAAGCATTGCAGCCTAGTGGTTGAGAAAATAATCTTGAAGCCAGAGCACCTGGGTTTGAATCCCAGCTCTGCAGTTTATTAGGTGTGTGACTTTGGGCAAGTTACTTAAGTTTTGTGCTTCAGTTCCCTAATATGAAAAGAGAACCTATCAGGTTAATATGAATTGGTTTATGAACTTCAAGTGAAAATTTGACTTTCTGGAGAATACTGCAGAAAATGTTGTCTCATTGACAAAAGAAAAAAATACATTTTCAAAATTGTGGAAGTAATTGAAAATTGAAATGTACATTAGACTCAAAGCAAATAGGATCTTTGACAGCATGCATTGTAGAGAAATAACACTGGCCTTAGTCATTAAGTCATCTCTTGACATCTCTGCTGTGGGTTTCTATTACCTGCACTGTCACCATGTACTTGTGTAATCGTGAGCAGAGTACCTAGACTTTTTTTATTCATCAGCCTTTCACTTTGCAAATTGTATGTGGTTATAAGATGGTAGTAATTTTTCTTCCTTTTACTTTTCAAATCTTTTGATCTTCATCTTGATTCCTATAATGAGTAGGCAGTGATCTTTCTCATTTAGGCCTCCTTGACACCCTATGTATGTAAACCATGCCCCTCTTCTAATCTAAACTTTTGCATGCTAATGAACTATACTTTGTTCTCTTCTTTGTTGGCAGTAGGTATTCATTTATTTATCTGACAAACTAGCAGTTTATTTAATATTCCCTTTTCTTAAAGAACTTTGTGGTAATAATAGACCAAGTAGAGTTTTTTTCAAGAACTAGTTGAAGTTATAAAAGGTACAAATTAGGATAGGTTAGGAATCCAATCTCTTAATTTTTAAAAATAGCTACTATTTTTAATATCTATTACCATATAATGGTTTATTTTAATCTCAACAGTGTTCTTTTATGCAGTGCTTTAAATTCATTATCTTCAAGTATAGGGAGTCAGGTAGTTAAGAAGCATGCTAGACTTGGGTTTAAGTTCTAGCTTTATCACTTAGAAGTTGTAAGGTGATAGCAAGTAATTTACTTTTCATCATCCATACAAGTAGGTAGTATATAACAACCTCAGGAGTTTTTGGTAAGGATTAAATGAAAACACCTACAAGAAGTATTTTTACATATCATAGGTGTTTTAATAAGTACTCATTTGATTTCCCTAACAATGTGGGATTAAAATAGAAGTGTAATTTCATTAACGTATATTGTTTTCTGCACCTCCCCCCCCTTTCAGAACTATTCCATGGCAGTATATCTTGTAAAACAGTTGTCCTCAACAGTTCTTCTTCAGAGATTACGAGCAAAGGGAATACGGAATCCGGATCACTCTAGAGCTTTAAGTACGTATGATAATTTTTTTTGTTTGTTTATGTAGCCGAAATACTTTGTAAAAGTTAGAGTAGTATGTTCTCTACTCAAGAATCTGTCATACAGGATTACTTTAAAAAACCTTTTTGCTGCCAGTTAAGGTAAAACAAGACCCAAGAGTAGCTTTTAGTATCTTTGTCATGACCTGTCATTTTTAATCTATATTTTATTATTCTAAAAATGAGCTATTTATAGCCTATATACGAATATGGAAAAGTAGTTAACTAAAACTTTATAAAATAGATAATTGCTTAAGGAATCTAGAAGGAGGAAAGAGAAGTTTGGCATATATTTCAGGAGAATTATTTTAGACTGAAAATTTATCCAGGAAAAAAAATTTCTAATCCTGCATTAACGAGTGTAAAGAAATTCATGTGCTAGAATAATAATGAAGTGAGGTACTGCTATTAATGAGAAGTATGGCTGTGAACAAGTAATTACTCTGGATTTCGTATTATTCATCTGCCTAGAGATTTGGACCATGACATACTAAGATCTAGTAAATTCCTCAACTGGACAGTTCTGGACTCAGTTTTTGAGTGTTAAAAATCTGTGGCTTTTCCAAGGAGGCGAAAATAAGTTCTTCCTTTTTTCTATCTTTTGTGAGAGTTATTTTCTTTATGGATGGATCTAGGGATGAGGACAGTTAGGGATTAGATAGCTTTCCTTTAAAGATACTTGATGCAGGTTGATGTTTAAGGACACTAGTGGAAAGATCTAAGATAGTACGCTCAGCTTTTCTCTCATTTCCCCTTGTAGCATTTTTTATCTTTTTCCCCTCCCCGTTACCGATTTCTGTGTTAAAATGAAAGATCTTATTACTTCTGAATATCAGTATCCAGTTAGTTATTTAACACCCATAACTCATTGAAGGATTTTTCCGTATTAACGGGGTCCCTTTCAGAAAATCAGTTAATACTGAGTCCGAAGCTGCATGCTTTTAGTTAATAATGCCTGTGTTGGCATTCCTTGACAGACTATGAGTGACAGCCCTGATGAGACTTGGAGGAGCGGAGGTGTACCATCTGACAAGTTGGGAGAAAGGAGATAGTGGAGCTCTTGAGAAAAGAACAGGCCAGAGCTCTTTCTGAAGGAGAGTGCAAGTGAAGCACTTTCTTTTTTTCTGTCTTGCGGAAGTCCATTCTTTGTGATTACACTGACAATTTTTGTATTTGTTACACAGTACTAGATCTAGTTGGAAAGCATTGTTACTGAGTTATATGTGAACTCTTTTGGGATAAAAAAGGAAGCTAAAGCTATGTGCTTAAGAGTTGTGCTACCATTCCAGCACAGTTTTATTCTGTAAATAGATTCAGAGGGAAAAGGATGGGCAATCTCTGTGATATGCAGCCTCTGAAAATCCACTGGAAGGTCAGCTATGATTTGGTTCTAACTCAGCAGGGCATAATAACAACAAAGATAATAGTAATAATAATAGTAATAATATACTCTGTGGTATACCTTGTAGAGAGTGTGCTACTAACCCAGATAGCACTTCCTCTTTGACAGATCAAATCTACTAGCAGCTCTGTGGGAGAAAGATGGGCAGTCTCTTCTCATGTGTTTTACAGCTTTGGAAACTGGTAGAGGGTTACTAATGAGTTATTTAAACTCATAGCATTGAGTTTGTTTGAGGTTTGAGTTTTACTCAATTAACCGTTGTCCACTTGTAATTACAGCACCACCTGGAGGGAGATTTGGGAAGATGATCCTTGAATTTTATTTTTTCTAATGAGCCACTCTTGGTTGGCCACTATTAAGTAGCAAAAGCTAACTATTTTAACTCTGATACAGAAATGGTTGTAAAAAAGACATTAAAAACCAGAAAACATTTTTCTGACAATTTATCTCGTTCTTATTGGTCCAGGATAGCAATGAACATTAATTTAGACCTGCCAAAAAGGAAGTTTGTAGTTAGTTCAAAATTGTTAATAATTACGTTGTAAGTTGCTGTTCAGTCAGTTCCTTCATAGGGCAACGTGATAAGTGAACTGCTTCTTAAGGTTTTCTTGACTAATATTCATGGAAGCAGATCACTCGGCCTTTTCTTCTGCAGCACTACTGAATATCTGTTTCTATAGTACCTTTAAAGAAAGAACTTTCCCAACAAATGAATTGTGCTGTTAAACAATTTTACAGGGGAAAAAAGTAGACAAGTATCTCAGATTATTTTTCAAGAATCAGTTTATGTATGTTGTTGTTATGTTGAGTCAGAAATGACCTGTAGCTGACTCTCTAGTAGGTTTTCAGAGGCAGTAAACCACACAAATGGAGATTGCCCATCTTTCTTCCATAAAGCAGCTGGTGGATTTGAACCACATGCCTTTTGGATTGGCAGTATAACTTCTTACTACTACGCCACTAGAGTTTATATATAGTTATATTAATCACCAATCATGATAGTTGGTGAAGAGATTGAGATTGATAACAGCTTCAGCTAGCTTGGCTCCACAGTCAGCACTCTTAGTACCAGCAGCCAGGAAATTAGAAGGTGAATTGCTTTGAGAAAATCTGCTGTCAGGGACCTCTCCAGAGTACTGAAGAACAATAATGTCTGTCTAGAGACTAACATGCACCTCATCCAGGCCATGATCTTCCCAAGCACTTCAGAGAGCTGGGCCATGGCTAAGGATAATAGAGGAAGAATTGAGGCCCTTGAGTTGTGGTGCTGCAGAGCAGTGTTGAATATACCATAGACTGCTAAGAGAACAAACAGACTTGACTTGGAGAGGGTGAAACCAAGCAGCTCCTTGGAGGCAAGATTTTGAAGCTTCATCTGACATATTTTGGGCATGTTGCAAGGAGGGACCTGTCCATGGAAAGGGACATCATGCTTGGAAGAGTAGAAGGACAGCACAAGAGAAGACCCTGGATGAGATGGATTGACCCAGTGACTGGGGTGGTGGGGATGGGTGCATCAGAGACAATGAAATTGACTCAATATAGCGCAGGGTTCAGCGCTGTTGTACATAGGGTTACTATAAGGCACAAACAACTCAACAGCACATAACATCAATAGCAACAACTGGCAGAGTCTTTTTTAGTCAAGTCAGATACTATGTCCTTGAAAAGTTGTTTTCTGATTTACTTGATTTACTAGATTTTCTCTTGTGGCTTCTTTTATATATAGTTGTAACATCAATATCACTTAACTGTCTTTTATTAACTTTCAGTCTGATTTTTTCCTCTTACCCCACATCTTTCAGCGATTATGTCAGACTTCATGTATACTTTAATACTGTGTGTCTTCCTAGCACACAGTCACTGAATGAAAATAGTCTGTTTCTTTTCCAGTCCTGGTGCCTCCATAAGTACCTTTTAAACATCCTACATTTGTATTCATTCTCACTTCATTCCTTTCATTCTCCGAGGAGGAAATCTCCCCTTTCTTGCCCTAAGTTAATATATGATTCATTTCTTCTACTTATTCTAGAAATTATTTTAGAGTCTACTATGTTCTGAGCACAAGAAAATAGAGCACTGACACTGCAACCCCTAGAAGCTTACAGTCTGAAGGGAAACCAGAAACATTAAATAATTGCTCAAGACAGCTTATGAAAATACCTGCTATGAAGAAGATAGCTCCTAGCACATCAGTGTGTGACAATATTCAGAATATTATCAGCTAGAAAAACTTACTCTAAACCTAAGCATATCAAAACCTTTGATGGCCAGAATTTTCATTGGAGTTCCATTATATAGTGGTGATTGATTGATTCACTGACCACATGAATTAACTCAACCTTCAGTGTCTCTCCCGATTCACCTTATATTGCCTGTTTCAAAGGACCAAACCACTGATCGTGTGGTTGGGTATGCTGACATAGCCAGCCCTCATACTGAGCCATCTTGTTGGCAAAACCCTGTTGAATAATAAAACAAACAAAATTATCATTTGGAAAATCCTAACGAGATAAAAGTTTTTAGCTTTCTTTCACAAGGTCTAGCTATAACTTTATATTATATAATATAATACCATTAGTACTACATAGCCAGTTGATTTCCCATGTATTGTTTATTACAGCAGGAAAAATATGTGTCTGCTTTTAATTTTTTCTCCCTTACCAACAGAAGAGACATACTCACACTCTCTCCCTCTCTCTCTCTCTCTCTCTCTCTCTCTCTCTCTCTCTCTCTCTCTCTCTCTATATATATATATATATATATATATATATATATATATATATATATATTTGTGTGTGTGTGTTTGTGGGTATACACCGTCAGATGGGATCTGATTGGTTCAGGAGGAGATTGCCCCTCCTTCTCCAGCAGAGCATCTGGTGGATTTGAACCGCATACCTCTGATATTGCAGTGCAGAAGACACATACTTTTATTTTCGTTTTTTCCTCCTTTCTTTCTTGTAATTAAATTAAACCTAGTTCTATTTCTGTCCCTTTCCCCTTTCTAGTCATGCTAAGTTTACTTTATAAGCTGCCAACATCACTAATTTATAATCTACAGTTTGTTGACTTTGACAGATGTATATAGTCATGAACCACTACCACCGTCAATGTAGAAACAGTGTTTTTACCTCAGAAATTTCCCTGTGACCTTTACAGTGAGTCCTCATCCCCTTAATTTTGATTCTTAATGTTCAGTTACATGATTTCTTTATCTGTAATGCTAACTTTACCATAATCAGTGAATCATACTGTACAATATTTCATGAAAACAATGTGCGTATCAGCCCCTTTTTTTTTTCTTTCTCTCTCTCTCTCTGGTGCCTCCGCCTTTTATTTATAAGTGTGCTATGTCAGCCTACTCCGGTGTCACTGTACAAAAATGTAGTTTGCTTATGAAAATGCCTGCTAGAGTATAAGGAGCCAATTGCTAAAAACAATTATTTGTATAAAATAGAAATAGTAGTTTTTTTGTGTATGGCTTGTTTTATTCAGTACAGTGCTTTTTAGGGTTTGTTGATGTATTTTCTTGTATGAGAAACTTGCTCCTTTTTACTTGTTGAGTAGT